GGCCCGCTCCGAGCTGATGAGCTCGCGAGCCTTGCGCTCCGCGTCGGACACAGCCTTCTGCAGCTCGGACATGGCCTGCCGCTTCACCTCGTTCACCGCCTCCTCTGTGGGGAGCAGGGCGCGCACTAGCACCGGAGCCCGGCTCTCCCCCGGAGGCCGCGGGGCCCCGCCCCCACTCACCGGCCTTCCTCCAGATCTCCTCAGGCATGTAGCCAGACAGCGGCCTGGGCACGAATTCCTGGGGGGCGTCTGAAACAGGGGCCAGTGTCACCGCGGGGTGGCCCCCCCAGCTGGCAGCCCTCTCACCCCAGTCCCACCTGGGGGGCAGGATGCGAACATGTACTTCCCTGGGGCCCTGAACCAGCTGCAGGGAGTGGGGACAGGGCAGTGGCCAGGCAGGGAAGAGCCCTGGGTGGGGTGGGGGTGGGGTGGCCCCTTCTGGTAGCCATGTCCCTCCAGTGCAGTCGGCCCGGGCCCGGGGGCACCAGCTTTCCTGGGGTGCAGAGTCGGCTCTGTGTCAAGTGACTGAGGCTGGAGTGTGTGTGTGTGTGTGTGTGTGTGTGTGTGTGTGTGTGTGTTTGTGGGGGTGGTGGGGGGTGTAAATAGTTCACAGGCTCACACCCTCACAGAAGAGAAGTCTGTCGTCTGTTGCAAAGATCCGCGCCAGGGGACAAGGGCTACTCTCCCCACCCAGACCTGGCACGGGCGAGTTCCGGGGCAGCACCCACCTGCCGGGGGCCCCTCTGCGGAGCTGCTGAGGGGGCGCACAGCGGGCGGGGCCGCCTTCTTTAGGTCTCCGGCGTCGCTGCAGCGCCGCAGCCAGTGGGTGAGCTCCTCGCGGTCGGCCTCCTGGCAGCGGCGCAGCACGGTCAGCGAGCGCCGCGTTTTCTCCACCATGTCCACGATGCAGTTCAGCAGCTGCGGGGCGGCAGGGCCGGTGGGCGGGCGCCGTGGGCCTGGGCTCCATGTGGGCGGGTCGGGAGGGGCCGCGCTCTTGCGGGGGTGGGGGTGGGAGTGTTGTGTGCAGGGCGAGACCGGAGTGAATAGGGTGGGAGGCGCCATATGGGGCAGGGTTGTGTGCAGGGATGGCTGATTTAGCCCACGCTCCTAGGCCGGCCCTTCTCAGGAAATAGGGTGAGGGTGCCCCTGCAAATACCCCTAAATCACCCCCACGTCCTTTCCGGTCGGAAGGACAGGCTCTGGGGGCACGCTCGAGGGGCAGCCCCGCTGTTCACCCCCAAACGTCCCTGGGCTCCTCTGGAGCCTGTGGCTGGAGGGCATGCACTCACGTTGTTGAGATGTTTCCACTCCTCTGCCCACTCACGGTCCGTCAGCTTGTGGTCAATGATCTCCTCCTGCCGGGAGCCATGCAGCACTGTGGGAGGACAGTGGACACTGAGGCCAGGCGGCCTGCCTGCCTGGCACCCTGCCCTATCCCTGCCTGTGCCTACTGGGGGTGGGTGGGTGAGGCCTACCCACTGCTGAAGCTTGGGGAAGGTGAAGAGCCCCCTTCCTGCCCTTGTTTAGTGCCTTGACCAACCCTACCCCTTCCTGCCCTGCCCCCCACCCCCACCCAACTAAGCATCTCTGAACTCTGAGAGGCCTCACTACTGCCCCAAAGTCTTCAGGGGTTCCTGTGGTCTCCCAACTTCTCTACTTCCGTTTAGCCAGTGGACTCCTGCACATCCCTCAAAGCCCAGGCAGCAGGGCCCCTCCTCAGCAGCAGCCCAGGGCCCTCTGGTGTTGTATGCTCTCCTTTTTATGTGCACCCCACCCCACCCCACCCTCTCCCTGGAGGGCTACAGGTCCCTCTGTGACCCAGAGGACATGGGTAGGGTGATCTGTGGGACCCTGAGCAAGCCAGTTCAATGCCAGCAGGACGTCGGGGAGGGGGACGGGGGAAGGGACCGGGAGGCCAGACAAGCCCACGTGACCTCTGCGTGCAGAGACACGTTCTGCTGGTGGGCGGTTCCAGGCAGGCCAAAACAGCTTGGCCTGTGGGACTTGGGGACCCATCTCAGCGAGGCCTCGCCCCCTTGAGGCAGGTCCAGAGAGGACACTGAGGTCGCTCTGGGAAAGCTCACCTGAAGCAGACAGGGCAGGAGTGGAACTCCAACAGCTGGGTTCCTGAGACCCCTACCCCGTGGCTAACAGAACCGAGGAGTGGGCAGAAGCCATCTGCCCATTCCCCACCCCACCCCTGGCTTCCTGCAACAGCTGTTCTCACCCTGCCATCCCGGGTGCTCTGTGCTGGGCTGGGCACCATGATTTCCCTACTGCAAGGGCTGAGGGCACTCTAGCTTGCCCGCTTCAGCTCCCCCGCCCCCACCCCGCCCCCATCCTGCCTCCCGCAGAGCCAGGCCCGCGCCAGCCAGTGCCCCAACCAGGATGGGGGCGGGATAGCAGACAGCTGGCATTTATTTTTGCCTTAGCAGAGCAGGCGGCCATCAGCACCTGCCTGACCCATGGCTGGAGGGCCAGATGCTGGCCGTCACGTGCTGACAGGCTAGGTCTGGAAGCTTCCGCTGGGTGGGGGCGAGGATGTGGCTCCTACTGATCCTGCTCCAGGCTCACACCACGTGGGTGTAGTTCCAGCCATCCCATCTGGATGCTGGGGGGCCTGGGACTTGTTTGAATTTGGGGGTGGAAGTCAGGTGAGGCCAGGATCCAGCCCACGCGACTGAGCAGGTGAGGCTCCTGAGCCTTTGCCATGGAGCCAGCAGAAAGGGCTCCAACTTGCTTTGAGAACCCAGTCCAGGGTTGTGGGGTGGGGATGGGGCACCAAGGCTGGGGCTGCTGTCACCTGAGCTCAGGTTGCCCCAGCCCAGTGCCCACATACCCCAAAGGCTGGAAGGGCATGGGCCACTCTGAGACCCTGCTGAGGGGGCACTGAAGTGCAGAGAGGCTGGGGACCTGTCTGGGGCGAGCGGGTGAATGGCAGAGTTAAGAAGAGAAACCAGGGGATCCTGCCTCAGACCCCCAGCCCAATGGCCACAACCGACGACGACAGCTGTGTGTCCTCAGGCTGGGTGTGTGTGTCCTGCCCACCCTGCAGCAGAAACGGCCTGTGACCACCAGGAGCATTGGCTCTCCTTTGGCCAATGGGGTGGGAGCGTCTCAGAGGAAGAATTCTCCTGTGACTTTGCGGTCACCCTCGCAGCATATCTGCCCACCAGGCTGCCCTGCTCAGACACCGGGGGCTCACACGAGCAGGCCCCCCCCTCCCCGTCTTCATGCTAACACACAGGACAGACAGGAAGACATGGACACATACTCTTACAAACACAGGTAAGGGAGACACAGGCTCACACAGGCAAGCTTGCCTGTCTATATGCTAACACAGACAGACAGACACACACACACACACACACACACACACACACACGCATCAGGCACTCACGCCCAGGCTCACCCACCATCACACAC